CATGCTAGGCGCGATGCTCCATCATGTTGGTACGACATCCAGACCTTGTGCAATAAGCGCCAGATTGCTGAGTTTTAACAGAATATTTTCAAAATATTTGTTAAAGATTTTATTGTTATTAATTTAGCAATATGATTAATTGGTTTGTTTGACAACTAGATGAAGATTAATTCAAATTTAAATAAAGATTTAAATTTGAATTTAAATTAAAACAAATCATATTTTGTTGGAGATATTCAAGGAAAAAATCAAATATCCACCCGATTCCGCATTAATTCTAGACGAAATTGAATATATTATCCAAGGAGAAAAGCCCAGAGTTATTTTGCCATATAAAGAGCTCAAACCTACATTAGAAAGAAAGAACCCCTATTAAAAATCTTAGAGTGTTAGGGTTTACAAGAGTTCTTGTTATTTTTATGTACAACTCTATATTTTAGTAAATTGGCATAAGAGGTTTATATAGTTGAGTTGTAAATTCAACATTTTTATGTACACCACTATGTTTCAGTATTTTGGCATATAAGGTTTGTCTAGTTGAGTTGTAAATTCAACATTGTTCTGTACACCTCTATGTTTCAGTAACTTGCCATAAAAGGTTTGTCTAGTTGAGTTGTAATTTTCAACATTCTTTCATCTTTTTAAGATTGGAGTTGATCACTAAGGTTTAGTGGTTATTTTCCCCTCTCACTGGTTTTGTGGAAAAGAAGAAAGTGAGTATGTTCTAATGTTTAGGGGGAGGGGGGTCTAAATAAAAAGTCACATAGTAGTGTTAAGAAAGTGCATTATGGTTTGTTGTTGCTTTTAAGACTAATTGTACTAAACTACTAATAAGTATTTTCCTTTCTTGGGTTATGAACTCAGCCTCCGAGACGTAAGTGTAGTTTCATCGAACTCGGTAAATAATTAGATGTGTTCTTTATTTCTTTTCTGCTCCATCATCTACTCCTTGTTATTATATTGGTTCTGATGTATCTTGTAAAATCAGTTGTCAAAGTATTGAATTCGACATCTATCCTCTGAGGAGCACAATTTCAATATCCTTTTCCTGAACCAAAATTTTTCCTTTTTCATCTTTAACAGACTTCATTTGATCTAAATCTCTTGTCTTTATTTATGTTCCCTTAGCAAGTATATATAATGAGTTTTCTCCCTTTTTTATTTCAAAAGATTGGTATAATCCATCAAAATTTTAGGTCCTTGCTTCATTCACCATCTTCATAGTCTCATTGTTATCTTTATACTTTTCTCAAGTTTTGACATTTCTACACCTAGACCATTCTTTAAAATAATTATTTTTTACTCTAACTTTACTATAAACACTTTCATTCCATCACCATAATTCTTTATCCCTATGTCTAATACCTCTTGATTCTCCAAACATCTCTTTAGATAATTTTCTAATATCTTGGTCCATCATTCCACATATCATTTGCGCTTCCTTGTGGTTGTCCAAACCATCTTTCTAAGATGTTTTGTTTGAAGTTGACTTGTTTTCACTGTTTAAATGCCACCACTTGATCCATGAGGATCCTATTTGGCTTCTTATCTTTGCCCCCTCTTGATTCTTACATACATAACCAATACTCTATGTTGGATATTCAAGCTCTCTTATGGAATAATTTTACAGTCTAAGCAAATTTTTCTATCAACGTTCCTAATGAGAAATAAATCTATATAAAAACATGTCACCCTGCTCTTATACGTGATAATATGGTCACCTACTTTCCTAACTTCCTTATTAGCTATAATATGAACAAAAGCTGACAAAGATTCAAAGATGGATTTACCTTTTGCATTTACCTCTCCGAGACCATACCCCATGCACACCCTTAAAACCTCTTACTGCGCTTCCTACACGTCCATTTAGATCTCTTCCTAGAAAAAGCTTTTCTCCTTTTAGTATATTCTTATGTAAGTCTTCTAAATCCTCCAACTTTTTTTTTACCTTAAGATCTTTTACTAACCCAACTTTAGATGCGTAAGCACTAAAAATATGAAGTATAATTATTTTTTGATATTGACTTTTAATAAAAAAACTATGTTTTAATATAAAATCAACTAAAGCATAAAAGAACAAATCTTAATTTTATTTTAATAAAGATAATTTATTGAATATAAAAATGAATAAAGGATGATGATATGTAAAACCCAATCTATAAAGAAATTAGCAAAAATGATAGTGGGACGTATCCGATCTATCTCTAAAAAACATTCACAAAATGTCATAATCAACTCAAAAAATTAACATTGACTAATCTATCCATAGATTAGTTAATGTTAATTTTAATATTAACTTTTAAAACAAAAAATATGAAAAAATCTTAATTTTAATATTAACTTTTAAAACAAAAAACTCATAATCACCCCGAATGAATCATATTATTAATATTAATATTATTATTATTATTATTATTATTATTATTATTATTATTATTAATATTATTATTATTATTATTATTATTATTAATATTATAATAATAATAATAATAATAATAATAATAATAATAATAATAATAATAATAATAATAATAATAATAATAATAATTACTATTATTATTATTATTATTATTATTATTATTATTATTATTATTATTATTATATGAATAGTTTGTAATCATAAATATGAATATATGACAATAGGTAGGAAATGAATATATGACAATAGGTAGGATTTCCCTGTAATACTATATTGATTAATTAGATTTTTATTAATATTGTACACAAAAAGTAATTAGTTTAATAATAATATTTTAATAAATGGTTTTATATGTACATTTGTAATGATAGTAGCAAATGCATTTGATATATTAGAGTGTCAATTCGAATTCATAATTCTTAATTTATAATTAAAAATGAGTCGAGTTTAATTAAATTTGGTTTATCTTAATTTATTCGATTAGAATTGAATTAGTTTAAAATTTGACTTGAATTTGGCATGAACTTTTTTTTTTCAACTCAAATTCAATTAAAATTCATGAACAAATGGACCAAAAATGTTGATTAAAAAAATTGAAATCTTAACAAAAGACAGTATAGTTTATATTTGTCATAATGATCAAATTTCTTAACAAAGATAACTTTTCAAATCTCTTTGGATGCATCAATGGATGTTGGTGCACTTCATTTACATAGGAGAAGAGTATATGTATTATTTAATGGGAGACTAATAGTAAAATTGAGAAGATTTTTAAAGGTTGAATTTAACTAAATAGCCCTCTTTGTATAATAATATGATCATTAAAATAGTTTTAATTTATTTATATCCCGTTATATCAGTTTAATTAGTAGATATTGAAGAACATCAAATACAGGAGACGTGAATTCAACATTATTTTAAGTATTTTTATTCTTACACTTAAATCCATATTGTTTTTACAAAAATTAAATTTTATATATATATATATATATATATATATATATATATATATATATATATATATATATATATATATATATATATATATATATATATATATATATATATATATATATATATATATATATATATATATATATATATATATATATATATATATATATATATATATATATATATATATATATATATATATATATATATATATATATATATATATATATATATATATATATATATAAAATGGATTAAATAGTTGAGTTATTAAAATTCAAATTATTTTTGAGTCTTTTCTAATCATTCATTGACATTTCATAATTTCATGTGTTATTGACAATTTTTAATTAAGAGTTGAATAGATTTATAGTTTTCCTAAATATTTCATATATTATTTTTAATTTTAAAAAAAATTTCTTTTAAAAAATTATCATTCTAAAATTTTTCTTCCACACATTTAATTTTTTTTTGCTTAAATCAATAATTAAGTAATTAAGTGTCGTTAAAATTACAGTAATTTTTGTCGTTAAAATATAAAAATCGTCGTTAAATCAGTAAACAAAAATGTGGATGTAAATTTTTAAGAAAACTATTTTGCAGAATTAAAAATAAAATAAGAGAACCATAAACATATTTAATTCTTTAATTAATTATATATAGCAAACTAACATTTTATTTATGAATAAATTTTCTTTAAAATAATAATAATTTATAACATTTTTCTTAATAAAATAATTAAAAATAATATAAAATTTTAAATACCACTAAATTTAGTGATAAAGTCAAATTATATTAATTTCTTAAATATTACCTAATTTAGAAAATATAAATTAATGTAATTTTTCTCGAAGAATATGAAGTGTCAATGTATTTAATTCAATGTATCTCAATTATTTAATCAAAAATAAAAATTTACTAATTTTAATCAACAATTAGAATGTGTTTGTGCAACCAAATCAAAATTAAACAAATACTTTTTTTAAAAGTTTTTTTTATTATAAGTTGTTTTTAACTTTTATATGTTTTAAAAAAATATAATAATTATGATATAAAAAAGATAAATTAAAAAGGAGTTTACAAAATTATCTTTTATTAATGATATTGAAAAGACAAATTTATATAAGTAAAATGAAATAAAATAATAAAAATTAAAAAAATAATAAAAAATAATATTAATTATTTATTAATATTATAAAATGACTTGTATAAAATATTTTTATAAAGCGATTTATAATAAAAAAAAGAAATTGTATTAAAATTAGATGTAGTGTAAAATCACAAGCACATTAATAGTTATATTAAAATCAAATATATTAGATTATTCTAAAAGAAGCCCTAAAGATAAAATAGAGGGGAGAAGAAGAGTGAGAATATTTGTTGGATACGGGAATGAACATTAGTATATTTAGGAAATGTGAGTGATATAGGAAATTAATAAGAACGAGGAGAACAGCCCACTTCTATTCATTTCTTTTCACTTGTCTGTCCTTCTCCCGTCTTCGTGTCCCTCCTCTGTTTCTTCCCCTTTTCAATTTCACTCTTTCACACTCACTGCTCACTAGAGAAAAAACAAAAACAAAAACCAGTCTTTTATTTCTGTTATTTCCGTCTATTAACTACAAATATGGGAGAAACCGGTATCAATGTTCCTTACCCGGGAAACTTAAACCCTACGGCTCAAGAGTTTACCCCAACGAAACCCATTCCCCTCTCCGTCGCCGTCGGAGTTCCCTATCCCTACCCTCACTTCGCCGTCACACCTCCGCCGCATCTCTCCACCTTACCCACCCGCTCCGTTCTCCTCAGTCCAGTCCCCCCCACTACTGAATCCGACCTCCGGAAAGATCTCCAGGCCTTCGGTGATGTCAGAGCTATCCAAACGGATTCCTTCCGTTACGGAATCGTAACCGCTCATTTCTACGACCTGAGACATGCACAGGCGGCGTTCACCGCTATTCGTACTCACCACGTCCACTGCGTTTCGTTCTTTAATCCCCTGTCTCAGCCCCAATTTCATCCCCCTCCACCGCCTCCTCCGCCAGGCCTCGTCGCCGGTGTACCTCTCTGGGCCCACTACGTCTTTTCCGATATTCAGAATCAAGGATCCCTTGTCGTTTTCAACTTAGACGACGACGTTTCCCCTGACCAACTACGACAAATTTTTGACCCTTTTGGTATTTACTTTTTTTTTTTTTTTTTTAATTAATTTATTTTCCACCTTTTTGTTTCAGAAGTGAGATCTGAAAGTAGATTGTTTTTTTTTTCAATAAAAAAATAATAAAAATCTTAATAGGACATGTCTCTATCTCACTCTTTTTGTGTGTTTTTGTGTGTCCACTTTTTTATTTTTTATATTTGTTTAATTACAGGAGCCATAAAGGAAGTGAGGGAAATTCCAGGGAAGAAAAAGAGTCAAAGATTCGTGGAGTTTTTCGACATAAGAGATGCTGGCAAAGCTTTGAAAGAATTGAATGGAAAACAAATAGGAGGAAAATCAATTGTTATTGAGTTTAGTAGTGGCTATGGAAGAAGATTCTTCCCTTCAACTAATCCTAATTCCTATATATCCAATAAGCCATTTCATTTCAACTTTCCTCCTCCACCTCCACCACCTCCCTCGCCGCAACGACGTTTTGGTCCACCGCAATTCTCTCACAAGAATGTTAGGACTGGTTCAATGAGTTCAAATAGTTTGAATGGGGATGAAAACTACCATTATTCCCCGAGGAGGAATTTCGGTAGGGAATTCATTGGGGAAAAACCATGGAATTGGAAAGGGAAGCAACCTTATAAGAACGAGACTCGTTATATAATCAAAGAAGATGCCATTGTTGAATCCGATTCTAGAACAACTCTCATGATCAAAAACATACCCAACAAATACAGGTCCGTATTTATATTTAATTTAATAAAAAAAATTAAAAAAAATCTTTTTTTAAATAAAATTACTATCATACCCTTATTGAAATACTACAAAAGTTTAGAAAGAGACAAAAGGAGGTGCCAAAAGTACATGCTTTCTTAATTACTATTGAGTTGTACAATGTGTTGTTTTTTTATTTTATGTTATTTTGTTTGAGTGAATATAGTCAGAAGCTACTCTTGAACATGTTGGACAACCACTGTATACGCTGCAACGATCAGATAGGCGACGGCGATGATAAGCCTCTATCTTCCTATGACTTCGTATACCTTCCTATTGATTTCAAGTAAGCAGTGTTTTTCATCATGTTTCTTGTGCAATGCAACCATTATTTTACTCATTTTATTATTATTATTTTGTGTGTATCTCCAATGCACTTTATGGCAAATCCGTGATATATAATTCGACAGGAACAAGTGCAACGTGGGATACGGGTTCGTGAATATGACATCTCCGGAGGCTACTCTAAGGTTCTACAAGGCCTTCCAGCATCAACGTTGGGAGGTTTTTAACTCTAGAAAAGTCTGCCACCTTACCTACGCCAGAGTTCAGGTATTTAATTTGATTAACGAGTACATTATTAGATTTGAGTATTAGTAGTACATTATTATATGATGATAAAATTTGAAGATTTATTTTTTATTTATACTTGAAGGGTTTGGAAGCTTTGAAAGAGCATTTTAAGAACTCAAAGTTCCCGTGTGAGATGGAGCATTACCTGCCGGTGGTATTTTCGCCGCCTCGAGATGGGAAGCAGTTAACGAAGCCATTTCCGGTAGTGGGGAGCTTGGTGCGAGTGGGTGCTGTAGATGATAAGATGGAGGGTCGAGATCATAGGGTAGTAGCAGGTAGTAGTAGTGGTGGTGATGACAGAGTCAGCTGCAAAAGTGGCGGTGTAGTTGGCGGTGATGATGATGATAAATCAGATGTGAAGTGAAATGTGCATTTATGTACCAAGCACATCAAGAATTAAAGGTTGTTGAGCAACGAGCCACATATGTGTTCTCTCTGCTCATAAGCCCCCACCGTCTTACAACTTTGAACCTCTTGCTGCTCGCTGCTCACTCCCCCTCTCTTATTTCTTGCCTTTTAGTTATTTTTTAGTCAGTTTTTTTATGTCCTTTTAAATTAAGTCTCTCTCGTCTAGTCTTTTAGGTTCTGGCACTTCAGATGTACTAGTATTTTCCTTGCCTACAAATTTAAATTTCAAGACATGCAATCTATGATGTTTGTTTATTATTTATTGCTTAGATAGATTAGATTACCTTGAATAAGTGGATAGCTTTGGAACGGTGGTTGTTGGAATAAATGAGATGACACAATGTGTTACATATATGTGTTGTTGTGAATTGAAAATCTATGAGTCTCATAGGAGATTTCAAGTGTTAATTAAGAGAGGTAACATCCTTGGGGTGTGCAATATGGAGTATAGAGATTTTGTGAGCAATATGTTTGGTTATGTTAAATACTTAATTTTTGGTGCTAAATTTTTGTCACCTGCCTTACACATTATATTAACGTGTGTCTAACACGTGTTAATATGTGCAGTATACATGCTTCACATTATACACTGCGCCTTCCACATTTTATTTTCTCTCAATTGTCTGTTTGATTCATAACAACTGATGTTTGTGATTAGAAGCAGTGAAAGTGCTAAAAATTATGGATCTGATTATTCGGTTTATATATCATAGAGGATTCGACAAACCTTTAAGAAGTTTTTTTTTTCTTCTTTAGATGCAAACTTGAGGAGGTTATAACTTGTCACCTCTTTGGACACTTTCACATATTATAATTTTTTTTTATTTTTTTGGAATTTTTAATTTATCGGAAATTTTGCAAAAATAATGGAATTTTAGTATGATAGCAAAGAAAATGTTTCTAAGATGTTTTGGAATTCGATAGGAGCATTATTGAGGTTTTTAGTCGAAGAGGTCCTTTACGAGGAGGATATGATGGGTTAAAACTTAGAAATATTTCTAAGCTTAGATTGCAATTTCGACGGAGCCAATGTTAAGGTTGCGTTTGACAGGGATTTTGAATTTTGAATAAGGATGATAACTGCATTTTGTCCTTATCAGTTTCTAGTTTCTTAAAGGTGACGCGTGGAAAACTGTGGCAAATTAGAGACATGCAAGCGAGAACGTGTCCTTTTCTGGAGAAAAGACCGTTGATAGCGGTTATTTTCGACGTAGTATAAATATGAGTCTTAGTGTTTAGGGTTTCTCCGTGTTCAATCATTGTACACATACTCACAAATCACTCAAAGTATCTAAGTGCAATTGAGAAATGAGTTCGTTGAGAATGTACGTCTGAAACACCATATTTTCATTTTAATTGAAGTTATTTTCAGTTTTATCAATTACTTGTTTCATTACAATTTACTTTGAAGTTTCTTTATTGCAATTCCTTTACAAGTTCTGCAAATTTACCTTTTAAACTTTAAATAATCTTCTACAATCACGAGCGTTGTCGAAGTGTTCTTAAAACTTTCAGAAATAGTTAGAACAATAACACATGTTCTAGGATTCACTCCTTAATCCTGTAAAGTAAACCATTTTCGGAGACCATCGGTTATTTATCAATTTTCACTGTAAACAAATTGGCATTGCCCAGTGGGACCGTGCTATCGTTTAAACGTTTTTTCTGCTTTGGAATTTTTTTGTATAAGTTTTTCATTTTTACTATCTCTCTAACTTTGTTGTATGAGACTAAGGAGTGGTAGAATAACCACAAACAACGAGCAAAGAACAAGGAGAAGATACGTACGGAGGATGGTGAATCAAAATCCACCAAATAGTCAAAATCCATCAAATAATGGAGAACCACCCCCTTCATCTTAGACAGGGAGAACTACAGTTCCAACGTCTATATCTGAAACTGTACCATCCACGACAAATACGACGCATGTGCATTCGATTTTCCAAAGTAGACCCATTTTGTATTATGTGGGATCACATGGTCCACCAGTGACCCCACTCCAGTGGGGGAGTAATTTATTCAAGCCTTATGTGCTTGGATTTTCAATGCCTCTAACAGGTCGCGAACAACCTTATGGCATGCCGACATCAATGATGACAAGTTTTCATAATACAACATCAACATTCATAGACCCAGTGGTGAATATAACTTCTCCATTGCAAGGATCTGGCTCATGCATTAACAATATGGGTCGAATTAGCCAGCCCTTAGGAACGAGATTTCCTACCAAAATGCTCAATCTCACCAGTAATTATTTAGCGGTGTGTAATACCCTAATTTTTACCCCTAAGATCCCACATATCATTTACATCTCATTCCACAAACAAGATCGCAAGCTTTAGTTCTCTTGCCTTCCTCTGCAGGTTTGTTCTTGAGAGATCACCGGACACCCTTGTTTTCTTGTTTGTTTGATATTTATTTATGTTTATATTTATTATTGTTTATGCTTCCGCTCTTTTTCTTTTGTCCATTTGGACCATATCTTGTTCAAAACATTAATAAAGGATTAAACCTCTAAAAAATTTGGTGCTCTTAACTTTGTGGTTATGCTCTTGGACGATTATTAGACCTTGGACTTCTTGGATTATTCTTGGACCCTTGGACTTAGAATTATGACTCTTTCCCTATGCTTGAAGTATTATGGATCTTTGCCTTTATTTGGTTTGCTCATTTGCTTATGCTTCAAGATGGATGAAATTCTTATTTGACTTGCTATGGAGTTTTCTATCTTTTGGTTAGATCCTTCTTATCTCTAACTTTTATTTGCTTTCTAGGGTAGTCACTTGATCTCCTCCCCTTCTTAAAATTTCAAAATCTTCTCCTTTTTTCTAAACTTTCTTGTTTTCAAACTTCAAACCGCTTTCACAATAAAAACCTTGACTTTTGTCAAGTGATTTTCAAACTTTGTTTTCTTTAACAAATGTCAATCAATGTTAATCATACTTTGACCAATTTCAAAAAAGATATAAAAAACATTTCACCTCATTCAAATCTTTTATGCATTTGTGCACTTTTCATTTTAAAGCTTTTCATAAAGTTTAGACATGAGTCATTTTCATAGTTGAGATATAGTTCTCCTATTCCCCATAGTATTTAAGATATTGATATTTTCCACTTAGATTTTGAGTGATAGACTTGTTGATTTTAATCCAAGCAAAAATCCTCCATCTTTAGGTGATGCAAATGTTGTCTTATAGCGACTAGTCGTAGTTTTCTTCTTAAAATGACGACTTGTATTTACATTTAAAAATCAATCATAAAAAAAAAATATTATTTGTACCACGAACTACAGAGTTTTGATCCTATATTGCACTTTGTGGGTACGTAGGCATAAGGCGATAAGTCTCTCCAAACACAAAAATCTTAAAAAATGTTTCTCTTCTCATCTCTCAAATCTCCTTTCAAACAAACCTTTTCAAACAAAAAAGCGTAGATATTTCAAAGGGCTCCTATAGAGTACTATATATGTTTTGGGTGCTAACACCTTCCCATTGCGCAACCAACCTTTTTACCCAATCTCTGTTTTATTTGTTCTTGTTTTAGAACTCTTAGGTTTTGTTCGCTCTTTTTCCTTTCCTTTTTTGGATAAAATAAAAGTGCGGTGACGACTCTTGCATTTTTGAGTTAAGTTAATCAATAACTTACACTCACAAATCTACTTTATCGAGATTTCCATGAATTACTAGGAGGACGCTCTATCCAATGTGCTTGTTGATATCGGGTCATCATTGAATGTGATGCCAAAATCTACTTTATTCAGATTGTCTTATCAAGGTACTCCAATGAGATTTAATGGAGTCGTTGTGAAAGCCTTTGATGGCTCGAGGAAGACTGTGATTGGAGAGGCTGATCTCCCTATAAAGATAGGTCCGTGTTTATTCTAGATTACTTTTTAGGTAATAGATATTAATCTTGCTTACAGTTGCCTTCTGGGACGCCCTTGGATTCATGAAGCCAGAGCTGTCACTTCGATACTCCACCAAAAGTTGAAATTTGTCCAGAATGGAAAACTTGTTGTTGTTGGAGGACAACAGGCTATGTTGGTAAGTAGTTTGTCATCTTTTTCTTATATTGATGCTGACGAGGATGTTGGAACTCTGTTCCAGGCTCTTTCTGTGGTTGATAATGTTGTTAAGAAGAATGAAGTGTCCATGCCTTCTTTGAAAGATGCACAACATGTGTTGAAGAGTGGCCAAACTGATAGATGGGGCTGAGTCATTGAAGTTGCTGAGAAAAAAGATAGAGTTGATTTGGGTTTTACACCCGATTCAACCCGCAAAGAGCTGAAGAATATTCATGAGGTTATTCAAAGTGATGGGTTCATCCATGCCAAAGATCATGATACAACTGCAATTCTTGAAGATGATATTAAAGATTACATCTCAGATGGTTTTGAAGATGATTCTATTCCTGCTGAAGACTGAGAGCCTTATTTGGAAGATCTTGAATACGGTTTTGAGACAGAAGATGCATATGTACCTTTTTACTCTCCTCGACCGAGACTTAAGGAACCTGAGTATGAAGTCAGTGCCATCATTGAGGATGACCAAGAGGAGGAAACACCCAACTTTGTGACGCATGGATTGATATGCCAAAATTGGGTCGCTGTTGACATCCCTACCGTTGTTCATATTTCAAAGTAATTTGTTTTTGTTTCTTTCAAAAATCCTTTCATTCTGCCCAAGGTGAAAATGAATTTGTGAGGGCTTTGTTTCAACTTTTATCATTATCAATACAATGTTATTTTGTTTATCCATATTATGTTTTCCTTTTTTGCTTTATTTCTGAAAAATGGTAACATAAAAAACCAAAAAATAATAATGTGATAATCACTTTTATTTGCATGATATTTGCACTTCTTCATATTCTAAATTCAAACATAAATCATTGTGTAGATTGTTTGTTAAACCCATTGAAAACAACGACCCTATACCCTCTCCCAACTTTAAGTTCCCT